ATTTCACGATTTCTTTTCTATACAAGAGACGATGCAATATTGGTGTTAAAACGTATATTTCGTTCAACTTGAAGGTGTAAACAAATCACTGTTATTTAGTTATTCGCGTCAATTATGACGACGTCAAAATTTTCGTAACATTCTCACATTTATCCTACGAAGCCATAATGTTTGGATAATTAAATTCTCCGTATCAAGCTGCGTAATAATCAGAGAACTCGAGGTGTCGGTCTCGCGACACGGTGAAACCGATAAAAATCGCCGAAGTAAATTTGACGAGCAATTAACCTGAAAAAAGTAACGAGATATTTCCATCGATATTCTTTCTATCCCGACGGCAGCATTCTAATAATGGAAAAGAACAAGTAATCAGATCTAGGAAGCAATTGCACGCGGAAAAATAGATGCATCGTAAGATGCATCGACAACTTATTGTAAAAGAATGTTGCGTCTTCTATTCAGGAAGGTAGGAGCTTTCCTCCGTGTCAAAGAATACGAGAGACGTCTTGATTTGCCGCGATACTTTCCTTCAAATCCGTCGGGACTTTCAGAAAAGTTTCACGCTTAAGGAGAGATTTGTACGACAATATGCTGACAATCGCGGAGATCAAAGACGTTTCGATGAAATATTCCACTTTGGTTCGAGCACGGGCGATATTTCGTTTCGTATGAAATGTCGAGTATTAGGGAGCAATTGCTGTGGGAAAAATTACATTTCAAGCTCTTTGCGTTTTTGGATGTAGTTTGAGTTGAAACTGTGGTACTTGTCGAATGTGTGTGACGAAGATAACAAATCTACAATTTGTAGGAAAATGGAAAAGACCTCGTTAGTCAGTACACCAGACTTTGAAATTCTTTCTTTTTCTGAATAGAATTTGCCACAGATTAAATAAAAGTGAGGTGGAGTAATTAGAAAATTTGGAATAGATGTGACTGTATTTCGATACTGTACACTTGTATGCTTTCTTTCTTATCAATTACATTTCATTTCGTAAGTGACAAGTACCGCTGTCTGAAAATGAAATAGAAGAGCTCGAAGTGTAACATTTCTCCGCTTTTGAAAATTTTTAGAGAACAGCTGAGAGTTACATTTATATCCTCTGAAAAAATTGAAACTTTTCATTTAGTACTTACCTATGAAAAAATTCTCAAACTTTACCTATTTTTCACCGATTAAGGATAGCATGACTATTCGATTATCAAAATTTAATTACAAATATAAATCTATAGTTTTTAGTTTAAATTTTCTGCCTTCAAATTTTATTTCGTCAATATTATAGGCGTCTTCAAAAGCAAACTCGCCGTTACCAAAAATCAACGAGCCACGCGTAAATCCCTGGCAACTCGGCGAAGTGAAAAACGCTTCGAAAAAGGAAATCCAGTCGCAGTCGTCTGACTTTCAAGAGTGCAAGTTACAAGTGATCAATTTCTTATCGAACGTAACGTTATCCACGCTGAAAATTTTGAACGACGCGTTGAAAACTGCTTTCGTGAAATACTTAGCTGCGAATGGACCGACGAATTTTCTCACTGCATGTCAACGTTTCGATTCGATCAAGCAACAGGTTGTTCCGTTGAAAATACAATTATGCAATTATATGTCGCATCAGAAACCACCTATTCTTAGGAAACAATTAAACGACAGACACGTGATTAATTATACCAAAAGAAAGGGTTCCTTTAAACTGGTAAAAAGAGGCTGTAACGGAAACAAACAATCTGAGAAATCTAATTGCCAAAATCCGACAACTAAATCAAAAGAGATTTGCAACGATAATTCACAATTGTCCAGAGAAGAATGTTCCCAGAGATCGAATCATATCGACCAGGGAGCTTCAAGAAACAATTGTCGAAATGATACGCAAGATCCATACGCAGAATATCTTCACTCGATACAAAAGAGTTCTCCGTCGTATTCTAACAAACCTGAAAGATACTTCAACGAAAAGACGTCCAAAAAATCGACCCAAAGCACTCATTACGGAAGCTCTGGAGACTGCAAGCAACAGAATCAGCAGAAATGCGAATCTCGTCAAGTCGAAAGTGAAAAATTTCCCGGCGATCGCACATCCATGGATTCAGCAAAATGCTACCCCTCGAAAACTCAGAGAATCCTGCGCTACGTACAAGAACATAGTTGCAAAGTGTTCAGACCGAACGACGCTGGAAAATCCGAGAAAACGAAGGTTTTTAAGTCGTCCAAAGACGACTGTAACTCGCCTGAAACCTTTCATGAATCAGGAATACAGTCTGATCCACCGCCACCGAAATCTGTTCACTGGTCTGAAAAGAAGAAATCGAAACGACGTTACGAAAAGTGTCCGGGGAACAATACTGCTCCTACGGTATACGTCCCATACGAGGAATCGAGCAGAAAACCAAAATTTCGAAGCCCAAAATGTTCGTCGGCAAATTGTCCATCGAAATGTGAATCGATCGGTGATACCTGTAAATCGTCGTCAAAGACGTGCGATGATTCGACTTCGATGAAATGTCACTCTTGCGAGGAAAGTGAGAAGAAATGTGTCCAGGCAGCGTCTGCGTCGTCGGCATGCGTAGGCACTTTGAAAGAGGAATCGTTAGAAAGAAAAACTGTCTGCGATACGTCGAGTAACTGCTCCACGGTCAAAGAGACATGGAAAACTGGAAAGGATAAATTGTCCGAAGCGAAGACTGAATTTAGAAAAAAGTCACAGGTAAGAACGCGTTCGCCTACGCGAAAGAAGAGAAGATATTGCAAAAGCAGCGGCGAATGGAAGAAGCAGAGGTATCCGGTACGATTGAGAATTTTCAAGACACAGAACGGTTTGGACCCGTGTCTACCGATGACGACCGAAGTGAGACGAGGCAATCGTTATTTTATAGAAGAGATAAAGAAGCCGAGATTGAGTCCGGTGCATCGTGAAATTTCACGTATGCTGAAGAATCCGTGTCCTCCGAAGTATTGTCCTGGCGTTGATATCAGAAAAACGAAGGATCGTGCGAGGAAAGCAAGGGAAGGGAAAAGGAGAAAAGTGAAGAGGCTGAAGAGTTGTTCGCGTGTTTGTAAATTTTGAATTGTCGGTTGTCCTGTGTACGATACTGTTCTTCATTAAATAACATGCGAAAATGGTTCGTCGAAATAATTGAATTTATTCTGGTTTCTTATTCGATCGTAGATTCTAATTTAACCCTTTATAACGCCGTGTGACTTAGAAGTGACTATTTTATGTCAAATGGCTGTGGTAAGTTTATTATAATTATTCTAACTTCAAATAATATAAGAATACAGTTTGTTTTATCCTGGGAGAAATGGGGAGCGGACAGGGTGGCTCGTCGGTAGCTTTCCCAGGTAAAGATGCATTCCGCGCGACTCATGTTAGGATGGGTGACCGCCAATGAAAAAAAAAAAAAAATTAATATATTTAATTTTAT